ATATCCAAGTTTTGACATCAATTTTTCCAAATCATTCTTAAAGTGTGACTTTTTAAATGAATCCTTCATTGCTTCTTCACATCTCACGAATGCATATGCATCGGTAACGATTGCCAGGAACATGTTCTGAAAGAGAAATGTACATTTTAATTTAAAGATGTGTTCTAAAACAAATAAACAGTATTGTTACAATTGCCTGAATAAACTTAAGCAAACCATAAAAACTTTAATCAAGTGTGTCACCTCAGAATTGCATCAGAGTATCCACTAAAACAAATGCAGAGTATCAGTGAGTAAACAATTTTAGTATTAATACATCTTGCATATATATACAGGTAGCCCTAGATTTGCGCCGGTCCAATTTGCGCCGATTCAGATTAACGCCGATTTTTAAACCTGAAAGTCAAAAAGTGAAAAAAAATTATTACTATTTTAACGTTTTACAATGTTCCTCGTACTGCATCTTACACTACATCGTAATTCTTACATCGCTGATTTTGAATAAAAATTATAAATACAGTCATCTTTGCAATTACGTATGTTTCGTTAACGCCAATTTGCTCCATTGACGTAAGAAGACTAGCGCAAGAAATGGGCTTGGACGAAGTGACAGATGAAGATGTAACAGAAATTTTGGAAAGCCATGGGCAGCCTCTTTCCAATGAAGACTTAGAAGAATTGGCAGCACAACTGGACCAAAAGAAAGAGGAGGAAAGAGAGGAAGAACTTCCTCTACGAGAAATTAAGACAAGAGATCTTCAGCGCATACTCTCAGACATAGAAAATCTCACTGATAAGCTCTGCGAGGTAGACCACGACTGGGAACGGAGCGTTATCGCATCCATGATGCCTTATCGTGAAATTTCGAAAGGAAGAAAGAAGAAATCACGACATTCTACAATAAATGCCTTCTTTAAAAACATGAAGATCCTCAACCAGGGACTTCGTCAGGGAACTAACGCAGCTTCATCACGCCATCTCCGATTGTAAGTGTATAAAATATATTCTTTAAATTCCCTTTATTTTATTTACGTTATTTGAGAACTTTAAGTGTAATGCCATTATATTACTCGTCAATGTTTGGGTGTCGGGAACGCATGTCATTGACTTCCCATTGATTTACATTATAAAATCCTTCCAATTTAAGCCGATTCCGATTACGCCGGTTCGTACAGGACCACATCCCCGGCGTAAATCGAGGGCTACCTGTATATATGTATATGTATATATATATATATATATATATATATATATACACATACATACACATATACATATACAGGGTTAGCCAGAAGTATGTTTACAAACTTCGTGTGCGTGTTCTGGGATCAAAAATAAGACAAAATTTTCCTATCAACATGGGGTCGCAAATGTTTCATTTTCTAAATAATAGCCAAAAATAAGTCTCAATCTATGCCTTTATTGCCAAGTATAAGGACAGGGATGTTTCTTTGTAACGGATGCTTAAAGCTTGGTCATCCATTCTCCACACATGCCTAAGCACGACGTACACAAGACTGGCGGATTTGTTCGTACATGCCAGGGTTTCCTCGAATCATCTGGCATTCACTCTGCACACGTTCCCACAGGTCGTCTTCATTGTTTATGGGTGTTGCATAAACGACAGACTTCAAGTGACCCCACAGATGAAAGTCTAAAGGAGTCAGGTCCGGTGACCTAAGTGGCCATGCTACTGGGCCACCACGCCCAATCCATCGCTGAGGGTACTGTTCATTGAGATGATATCTGACGCGATGGGAGAAGTGTGCTGGGGCTCCGTCGTGCATAAACAACATTTGTTTTCTTGTATTCAATAGTACATCTTCAAGGAGACGTGGCAAGTGTCTTCTTAAGAATCACCGATATGAAGGTCCTCTTAGATGCGAAGGAAGCATGTGCGGACCGTAACGATTGCCAGGAACATGTTCTGAAAGAGAAATGTGCATTTTACTTTAAAGATGTGTTCTAAAACAAATAAACAGTATTGTTACAATTGCCTGAATAAACTTAAGTAAACCATAAAAACTTTAATCAAGTGTGTCGCCTCAGAATTTTATCAGAGTATATATATATATTATTTTAATAAAGGCTGCAGGTAATAGTTTGATTATTTAAAAATATATTGTAGACTGTACTATAAACTGAAAAATATTTTCTTTATTATTCTTTACAGTTCTCTCCTCTCTTCCATCTGTAGAATGGCTCGCTGTAATTCTGAGGTCCTCATAACAGCAAGATAAGTAAAGGTCTTTTGATTTAAATTAACTCATTTTTGCACAACATTTAAAAACACGTTTACACTTACCATCATTATAAAGAATACCACGAAGAGATATGAAATGTAAAATAATCGTGCAAGAATGGGATGGTCTACTTCAACTGCGTTTAAGTCAAAATCTCCAATAGTAGCTCTTGCAAGTGTTGAGACAGTTGTCAGAAGTGCTCGGAAATCTTCAACCTGTGATTAAGAAAAAAATCAGTAAATTATTAAGGGTACTAGAATTGTCAATGTTTGTACTACTTGCTCACAACTACACCTCTCATATTTTCTTATTGTTTATTTATTTACTTTTGTTTTGTACAAGCACAAGCTGTTTGATATTGTAAGAGGGAAATTCTGTGCTGTCAATGTTAAAACTTGGTTTAAATTTTATTTCATATTTTATCCTTGTCAGATACAATAATGAGAATCTGTAGTCAACTTGTGCAGGAAGTTGGACTGCTGGTGAAAGTGCTTTAGAGTCGAACCCAAATAAGTGATCAGCAGAGCTTGTGAGATTCGAAGTCTCAAGGGTAAGTAGTCCTGATTACTATTGTCAGGATGTTGAAATCTAGGATGTTATTGTGACCTGAAGATGTAACTTGGAGGAGTCAAATGCATGAAGAATTTTCTTGGTGAAAACTTTTGGAAAGCAACAACTTTGAAGAATGGGAAGATGGAAGCATAACATCAGATTGATCTCGAAGAGATAGGATGCTGTGATGGGAGACCACAAGGAGTTGAACATTTGTACTCATTTTTGAGATTTCTTCGGGTTAAATAATTGAAGGTTGATATTTCTCATACACATCATCACACTAGTGTAAACTGTCAAAGTTGATCATTTCTCGATGCGTTGTTTGTTTAATCAGGTAAGATAACAATGCATGAAGAATTTTCTTGGTGAAAACGTTAGGAAAGCAACAACTTTGAAGAACGGGAAGATGGAAGCATAACATCAGATTGATCTCAAAGAGATTAGATGTTGAGATGGGAGACCACAAGGAGTTGAATATTTGTAGTCATTTTTGAGAATTCTTCATACTAGTGTAAACTGTCAAAGTTGATCATTTCTGGATGCAATGTTTGTTTAATCAGATAAGTTAACGTCCAAACATTATACACATTTATATACACATGCACATATATGTACAAGCCCATGATTGCTCATATACATATACATACATAGTAACATACCTGTTTTCCAAACAGTAGGTATCCCAGCTGAGCGAATGTGGCAAAAACAATGAAGAACATAATTGAAAATGCAACAATCTGCTTGTAGCACTGTAAAATAAAAATGAAAGGCATAAAATACCATTATGTTTATGGATTTATATCTGTACCAACTTATTAGGATCTAGTAACAACTTTATAAATCAATATCAATTAGAAATCATACCAAAACTGCAGAATAGCAAAATTAGATATACACTTACCTTGGCAAACGTCATGCTGAATTGGGACATGGTTTTGTTGAAACGGGTGTATTTGAAAATTTTTAACCATGTTAGAGCTGCCAGAAAAGCAATTACATTGTTGTACATGAGTTGATAGGAAACAACGGAGTCAAAGTTTGCAGACTTCTCCTCAGCAATAAGCTGAACTATTTGTGGTTCAATAGCCACATAGCTATAGATTCTGAAGCATATAACAACATAGGCCAACTGAGGAAGAAAGAACACAAACACAGAATTACAATCACTGAAAGAATTAAGTGCATTATACTTCATTCAACCAGAATTGCCCATTGAATAAAAAAATATTCAACACATAGTCCCTAGATTATTTAATTTTTATTTAACTTATTCAAATGCATGAGTTACTGAATAATGAAGAGGATGAGAAGACAATTATGTACAGGTACTGAGAAGAAACTAGAGAGGAAACAGTATATGCCTATTTATTCTAAGTTTAATAACTAACAAACTAACTAGATTGCTTATGGAACCCAAAAGTTCAACACTGAGTTAACCAATGCCCTCCACCTGTCCCTGTCTTAGGCCAACAAAATCCAGTATCCTTCAATTTCTACCTCCAATAGATTAAATTTTCCTCCCATTTACGTCTAGGTCTACCGAGCGGTCTCTTCCCCTCAGGCTTCCCAAACAATACCCGGTGCACATCTCTTGTCCATTCCACATGCACCACCCACCTCATTCCTCTTGACTTACACACACTGACAATATTGGGGGAGGAGTACAAATTTGTAAGCTCATCATTATGCAATTTTCTCCGTACCCCATCGTCTTCTCTCCTAGGCCCAAATATCCTCCTCAACACCCTATTCTCAAACACCTGCAATTTGTGTTCCTCACTCGGAATGAGAAACCGTGTTTTGCAACCATGCAAAAAAGCTGGCAAAAATATTGTTTTGTATATTTTAATTTTCAGGTTCTTAGAAATCAAACGGGAAGACAAAATATTTTGAACTGAGAAGTAGCAAGCATTTCTAGAATTTAGTCTCTGCCAAACTTCCTCATGAGCATCATTTTGATTTGTTATTGTTGTTCCCAATTATTTGAAATTTGTCACACTTTCAAAGGATTTATTGGCCACCCTAAGAAAATTCTGTCTGCCTGTTGGGATACCGACATGCGCTTAGTTTTTTCTGAATTTATTTCTAGCCCCACCTTTCTACTAGCTTCTAGTAAAACCTCTGTGTTCCTCTCTTGTATTTATATCATCACCCAATAAATTAACATCATCAGTAATTGCCAACAGCAGATGTGTCCCATATAACTGCAAACCCTCCTGCCTATCTTGGAATTTACTGATGGCTTATCCCCTCGTTTCAGATTGTTCTTGATGGAAAATGAGTCATTTAAATATTTACCTATTTTGCTACAGGTTTCATTTAAGCACATTTTTATTAGACTCACTAGCTTCTTTAATATAAGTTTGATGCAAAGTTTAATTTAATATTTAACAATAGAATCTACACTTCAAATTGAAGTAGACTGGTGGAAAGGAAGAAGAACTGGCAAGTGCCATTCTCTTTTATATTTTGTATTCAAACGTATAGCAATAAAATGTTTCTGTGAAGAGCATGCTTATTTATGTGTACGGAGATGAAATCATAGCAATTTCCATAGTCCATGAATGGATTCTTGATTCCTTATAAGAACTTAAATCTCTCCTTAAATGTATATCTTAAGCAATAGTATTACACTGCACTATTGTCTTTCCTTACAACACACAAACATTAAAAATCCCTTAGTTTTATTAATTTTACTGATATTTATTATTCACATTCATAAAAGGAATAAGCTGCTTCCAGTATTCTGAAGATGCTAATTTGTTGACTGAAGGATTTGAGAGTGTCTGAATACAAAGAGTTGTCTGTCTAGAATAGGAAAGCTCTACATATTATTTTTTGTTTGTAAAGGTCATATGTGAAAGTGGTGGAGCGATACAGATGAAGTAGTTAGTTAAATAAGTTTCAGTAAGTGCCAGTATGATGAGCCAGGATGGGGCAAAGAGTAAGATGTCCCTGCTTGTCAGTTAGATCACGATCAGCACAGTCCTGTTTCAGGGAGGGGTGTATATTTCTTCTTTACCAATACATTAAAAGTATTCTGGGGTCTACACAGTGTCCTGTCCAATGGTTTCTGGTGTAAAGTGGAGTGAGCATCAGACTAATCAATTACCTCAATTTGGTACTGAAGTTTAGTATGTGCATTAACTGCACCTTCCCTTTATGTTTTGACATGATATTCATGATTACATGCAAATGCCATAAGCATAAAGGGATAGTAAATTTGGAAAGAAAGTTACATTTATAATATCTGTACAGGTGTCTTATGCAGTTTGTAAATCACGTCTTTTAAACACCAATGAGCATCTTAGAAATTTACTTCTTATACCTTAACTATTAATGTCAATATGAAATGGTTTAAGGCAATATGACTTTTACTCAATCTAAACTATCTCAGGTCACAGTAGAGAATCTTACCACAAGAATGGCCAGATCAAAGAAATTCCATATTGAGTGTCGGTATTTGCGCTTTAAGACCACAATTTTCACTGTCTTTCAAACACCAATGAGCATCTTAGAAATTTACTTCTTATACCTTAACTATTAATGTCAATATGAAATGGTTTAAGGCAATATGACTTTTACTCAATCTAAACTATCTCAGGTCACAGTAGAGAATCTTACCACAAGAATGGCCAGATCAAAGAAATTCCATATTGAGTGTCGGTATTTGCGCTTTAAGACCACAATTTTCACTGTCTCTGCTATGGTGTAGAAAAATATGAATGCTATGAACGTGCATTCAAAGAATGCGACCATGGAGTCAAATTTGGTCACATAATGATGGAGCTTCACTATACTGTAGAAGGAGGATGTAATGATTCCTCCTGTTGGTGGTATCTCAAAAACAAGCCTGTGAAGAAGACATAAAAATGTTCAGTAATCACCAAGTGATTAAGCTGTACCTTCAAGTGGCACTAACAATATATGTTTTAGTTATAATGCTCATGCACATATTTAGGCCCATATATAATATGGGGCTTAAAATAAATTAATATTAAAAAATATGCAGTGTTTTATAAATGGCAGAGATTCTCTTCACTAGTTAAGCAACTTTTGGCTTATCAAGAAAGACTTTGCTTCATGGGGCTGATTATTCTTAGTAATACTGTAGTAAATCACTGGTCTTGATGTTCGTTCATTGGAGATCTATTGTACAAAACTTCACACCACCGATGTCACATTATGTAGTCATAATTTGTTTTACCTTATTTAATTAAATATTTACTGCATTGAAAAATGTTTCAAATTAAAACAGTAGAACTGAATGTTCTCTTTTTTATTCGCATTTGTCTCGCATTTGCAGGGTCTGCGTTTCTACCTCTCTTGGTGGATTTATGATCGATCTATTTTTTGGACATTGGTATAATTCCTTACATGAGTGATCAGACCTATCTGCAAGGCTTCTACATATACAAACACAGAAAGATGCGGACAAACATTAATGCCTTAAGTGGGACTAGAACCCATTTTTGCAGTAGCCAGGCACAAAATGTCCATGCCTCAGACCAAATGGCTACTGTGCCAGCAAACAGTAGATATGAATGACGTATTTTACATTGTGCATCATTATTTTTGTACAGTGAGCCATTTTTGGAAAACTGGTATAGCATTTTATATGATCTTCATGTAAAACAGAAGTTACATCATACTGATGTCGACTTAAATTAAATTATACCAGATATCTGTTGTTAATATGTGGATAGTCATGACCATCCTATTATGCAGTTCATCAAAAGGACGTATAAAATTGTTAATATATTTAAGATATTGAACATAATTAAGACTGTGTTGCACATTATTTATGTGCTCAATTTAAATATGTATTCATATTGACTTTTCCCTCGGTGGACTAGTGGTTAGCATGCTCGCCACTGGACCCAAGTTTTACAGGTTCAATCCTGGCTGAGGTCTATGGAAATTTAAGGGTGATAGAAATCCATAGCACAACTTCTTTCAGAGGAGAAGAGAAGCCAGTGGTCCCATGTTGGAGATTTACAGCATGTAAACGAACCTTCTGAGCATGATATTAGATGTAAAATATGCAAAATTCAGCAGCCATTTCTCATCCATGTCTCTCCTGAATCACTGCTAGATGGCTCTGGCAGTTAAATCAGGATTGAGTAGAAATTGTGCAGAGGCAATGGGATTGTCACTCACTACTCAAATGCACCTCATAAGACTAATAAGGACAAGTTGCCTTGAGCAAGTGTCCCGGAATGGGCCAAAGCCCCAAACCTTGTAGCAGATGAAGATGATGATGGTGATGATATTGACTTCTAGACTAGTTTCTTTGTTAGCCTATAAACAGCCTATATGTGATTCTTCATGGTGTTTATATTCTCACTCAAATTAACAAAATTACCATTTGTACTGTCTGTGTCATTTAACTTGGCTTGTAGCACAAGTGGGTCCAGGAGGGAGTAAAGTTAGAATGACATCCTTTGTGCATATTGTGATCAGTGTTACTATCCAAAATGGCATTCTTCATTGATGTATGCAGTGTGAGTACCACACATGGGTATCAATGGAGCAGACCCCAACTTACAAAATGCTTCTTGACTGGTATATTGTTGTCTGATTGCACAGACCAAGCCATATTATTAAGGTGAACCAAAATCACTACTATTAAGAGCAGATGCCAAGTAAAGTGATGCAGACAACATCTGATTTCAGACCATTTATTTCCAGACCTACCTGATTCTCCTGGACTCTCCTGATGGCAAAGTACATTACAGAGAATATATAAATATCTATGATAAAGAGAAGAATTTGAAAGTGAGAACTTACTTCATAGTTAAGAATGCATCAATATTTGCATTATAGACAGTTAAGTCAAGGAAAATTGCACGAGTTCCTCTAGTAACCCAAACATTATTCTTCAGTGTAAAGAAATAGTAAATCAGTCTGCTTGTTTTAATACCAATATACAAACACAGACATATTAGTTCTGTTCCTGTACATCTGTGTTTAGAGGTATTCAAGAAGGTAAGGATGAAAAAAGAATGGTTCATCCTTGCAAATTGATGATCCTGGAATTAGTGTAAACTGTAACATCTGATAAATGCATATGAGGTGGCGGTAAGGCCGAAGGATATTTTTCTTGTTCATAACCAGTTTTCTACTTTAAATGTTTGTCTGCAAGCTTCAGACGTTTAATGTGAATTGACTAAATAATACACACACTATAGTACATTACTCTTTTGAAGAAGAGTCTTAAAGAAAACAGAAAATTTTGTTGTACTACATGGACATTGAAGGACCGTCTTGTAAAATAAACCAAATTTATCTGCTAAAAACAGTTCCAATTCTCCAAGCACTTTTATAGAGGCAACTCTGTGGTATTTACCATATCCTTCATATGATTTCCTATAAACATAAAGGGAATATTTTGAATTACATCAATAAAGTAGTGTGCTGAAAATGTTGACTGAAAACTTACGCTGTTCCGATTCCTGGCCCAAATGGTTCTTTATCTTCTTTTGCAGGTGAATATAAGTCATAACATGCGGGGAATAATCGCCGGAATACTTCTTGTACTATGCATGAATCATTTCTCACTTTTACCTGTAGACAATAAAGTTTTAATTTCTTTCTAGTTACTACAACACATACAAAAGTCATATGCTTTAGTAACATGACACCTATTCATTAGATACGATGTATGATGAAACAGTTCATATGAACCTATCTTGTCATTACTGACATTCTCTATTATGTTATTAATATTCACAATTAGGAAATTGAGATAGACTTATAAATCATAAATCATGTATTATCACAAGAATGCTAACTTTATTTCACTGAAAATGTTATGTTGAAATGATGGAGCTTCACTATACTGTAGAAGGAGGATGTAATGATTCCTCCTGTTGGTGGTATCTCAAAAACAAGCCTGTGAAGAAGACATAAAAATGTTCAGTAATCACCAAGTGATTAAGCTGTACCTTCAAGTGGCACTAACAATATATGTTTTAGTTATAATGCTCATGCACATATTTAGGCCCATATATAATATGGGGCTTAAAATAAATTAATATTAAAAAATATGCAGTGTTTTATAAATGGCAGAGATTCTCTTCACTAGTTAAGCAACTTTTGGCTTATCAAGAAAGACTTTGCTTCATGGGGCTGATTATTCTTAGTAATACTGTAGTAAATCACTGGTCTTGATGTTCGTTCATTGGAGATCTATTGTACAAAACTTCACACCACCGATGTCACATTATGTAGTCATAATTTGTTTTACCTTATTTAATTAAATATTTACTGCATTGAAAAATGTTTCAAATTAAAACAGTAGAACTGAATGTTCTCTTTTTTATTCGCATTTGTCTCGCATTTGCAGGGTCTGCGTTTCTACCTCTCTTGGTGGATTTATGATCGATCTATTTTTTGGACATTGGTATAATTCCTTACATGAGTGATCAGACCTATCTGCAAGGCTTCTACATATACAAACACAGAAAGATGCGGACAAACATTAATGCCTTAAGTGGGACTAGAACCCATTTTTGCAGTAGCCAGGCACAAAATGTCCATGCCTCAGACCAAATGGCTACTGTGCCAGCAAACAGTAGATATGAATGACGTATTTTACATTGTGCATCATTATTTTTGTACAGTGAGCCATTTTTGGAAAACTGGTATAGCATTTTATATGATCTTCATGTAAAACAGAAGTTACATCATACTGATGTCGACTTAAATTAAATTATACCAGATATCTGTTGTTAATATGTGGATAGTCATGACCATCCTATTATGCAGTTCATCAAAAGGACGTATAAAATTGTTAATATATTTAAGATATTGAACATAATTAAGACTGTGTTGCACATTATTTATGTGCTCAATTTAAATATGTATTCATATTGACTTTTCCCTCGGTGGACTAGTGGTTAGCATGCTCGCCACTGGACCCAAGTTTTACAGGTTCAATCCTGGCTGAGGTCTATGGAAATTTAAGGGTGATAGAAATCCATAGCACAACTTCTTTCAGAGGAGAAGAGAAGCCAGTGGTCCCATGTTGGAGATTTACAGCATGTAAACGAACCTTCTGAGCATGATATTAGATGTAAAATATGCAAAATTCAGCAGCCATTTCTCATCCATGTCTCTCCTGAATCACTGCTAGATGGCTCTGGCAGTTAAATCAGGATTGAGTAGAAATTGTGCAGAGGCAATGGGATTGTCACTCACTACTCAAATGCACCTCATAAGACTAATAAGGACAAGTTGCCTTGAGCAAGTGTCCCGGAATGGGCCAAAGCCCCAAACCTTGTAGCAGATGAAGATGATGATGGTGATGATATTGACTTCTAGACTAGTTTCTTTGTTAGCCTATAAACAGCCTATATGTGATTCTTCATGGTGTTTATATTCTCACTCAAATTAACAAAATTACCATTTGTACTGTCTGTGTCATTTAACTTGGCTTGTAGCACAAGTGGGTCCAGGAGGGAGTAAAGTTAGAATGACATCCTTTGTGCATATTGTGATCAGTGTTACTATCCAAAATGGCATTCTTCATTGATGTATGCAGTGTGAGTACCGCACATGGGTATCAATGGAGCAGACCCCAACTTACAAAATGCTTCTTGACTGGTATATTGTTGTCTGATTGCACAGACCAAGCCATATTATTAAGGTGAACCAAAATCACTACTATTAAGAGCAGATGCCAAGTAAAGTGATGCAGACAACATCTGATTTCAGACCATTTATTTCCAGACCTACCTGATTCTCCTGGACTCTCCTGATGGCAAAGTACATTACAGAGAATATATAAATATCTATGATAAAGAGAAGAATTTGAAAGTGAGAACTTACTTCATAGTTAAGAATGCATCAATATTTGCATTATAGACAGTTAAGTCAAGGAAAATGGCTCGAGTTCCTCTTGTAAGCCAAAGATTATTCTTCAGTATAAGCAATTTCTCAATGGTTTTGCTACGGTGGAGTGACAGTTCTTCATAATATCCTCCACCACCATATGTTGAGAATTTTCCCCAGTGACTGGAACCACGCAGTTCTTCTTCAGTGGAATAAGTCCAGCTGTTGTCAGAAATAGTAAATCAGTCTGCTTGTTTTAATTCCAATATACAAACACAGAAATATTAGTTATGTTCCTGTACATCTGTGTTTAGAGGTATTCAAGAAGGTGGTGTCACATGTATTGTAAAACATTTCATAATACATGTGGCACTTGCTAAAAACAATATGGATCCCGGAAATAGCAGCTGCCCTATGTACCTTAGGGACAAGGTCTGTCTCGGGTACATGGGAGTACATACCCCATAAAGTGGTGAATACATGGGATATAATAATAATAATCCGTGGCGTAACAGCCCTCTGAGAGCCAAAGCCTATATAGGGTGACGTGTGGTCAGCACGACAAACCCCCAGCCATTGCTAGTTTTCATGACCGGGCTCTTTATGAAGGCAAGAGTGGAAAATCCTACCACACTCATGTAGGTACTCGGAAACTTCAATAATTATATCACGGCCTCCCCAGCTACCACAGGATATTCATCGTGAATTGTTAACCAGAAAGACTCCAAATGGTACTTTTTTTCTTCAAATAACATTTTGCACTGACTGCTTGACCTAAGCTCCATCATTTGCTCTGCAAAACCATTAACACCATCGGGGATTTCAGTCAAGTCACACAGAAATGGATTTACAATCCACTGATATACAGAACTTTCTATTTCAGGAAAGTTTTCCTTGGAACGCAATGATAGTTTTGTTAAGTGGGTGATCACGGCAAAATGATTTAATGTAATAAGAAGCATATGGCGTATTTATTAAATAGCAAATAAATACTTGTTAGACTGTTTTAGAGTATCGGTGCACAATGACTGATTGCTTTCTTCAGAGTACTTCTACACTTTTACGGTAAATTTTAATGTTTATTCCGAGGTGTGTCGTTACCCAAAGAAAAACCATTTTTACCCCTTTTTTGGGTAATTTACCCAGGTTTGGGAAAAACTGTTATAAAGGAAATGTATAAACCTGTCGTAGGAATGCTACTCCGATCATCTTACTATCTTGCAACGTATATCCAACTGGTTGTTGCGTATCATCTTTGTAGTTCCCGTATATACCGTCAATCATTATAGTCTCTGCAAACTAAAAATGAAATTAGTTAATTGCGTGTAAACACTAAGATTGTAAGTTATATATCGACTGTACAGTGCATTGCATTCTGAAACCATTATTTAAATATGGACTATCAGTCAGTAACTCTACATGATACATATTATTCTTACAGCAGTTGATATGCAGTTACTCAGATCATCAAGTGCTTTTTTAAAGGAAATGTGGTCAAGCTGAGAAAAGTCTGCCTGCTCCCAAGATTCATTTTAATAGAGGCATACCTCGGAGATATTGCGGGTTCGGTTCCAGTCCACTGCAATAAAGCGAGCCACAAGAACTTTTTGGTTTCCCAGAGCATACAAAACTAATGTTTACATTATACTGTAGTCTATTAAGTGTGCAACAGCATTATATCTAAAAAAACAATGTACTTACCTTAATTAAAAAAATACTTTATTGATAAAAGATGCTAACCATCTTCTGAGCCTTCAGTGAGTCATAATCTTTTGCTGGTGGAGGGTGTTGCCTCCATGTTGATGGCTGCTGACTGATCAGGGTGGTGGTTGCTGAAGGTTGGGGTGGCTATGGCAATTTCTCAAAATAAGACAACAATGAAGTTTGCCACACCGATTGACTCTTCCTTTCATGAAAGATTTCTCTGTAGCATGCAATGCTGTTTGATAGCATTTTACCCACAGTAGAACTTCTTTCAAAATTGGAGTCAATCCTCTCAAACCCTGCCGCTGCTTTATCAACTAAGTTTATGTAATATTCTAAATCCTTTGTTGTCATTTCAACAATGTTCACAGCATCTTCACCAAGAGTTGATTCCATCTCAATAAACCACTTTCTTTGCTCATCCATAAGAAGCAACTCCTCAACCGTTAAAGTTTTATCATAAGTTTGCAGCCATTCAGTCATATCTTCAGGCAACACTTCTAATTCTAATTCTCTTGCTATTTCTGCAGTTACTTCCTCCACTGAAGTCTTGAACCCCTCAAAGTCATCCATGAGGGATGGAATCAACTTCTTCCAAACTCCTGTTAATATTGATATTTTAACCTCCTCCCATGAATCATGAATATTCTTAATGACATCTAGAATGGTGAATCTTTTCCAGAAGGTTTTCAATTTATTTTGCCCAGATTCATCAGAGGAATCACTATATATGGCAACTATAGCCTTATGAAATGTATTCCTTAAATAATAAGACTTGAAAGTCGAAATTATTGGCTGCAGAATGGATGTTGTGTTAGCAGGCATGAAAACAACATTAATCTCGGTGTACGAGGTGCGATCGGAAAGTTTAAAGACTGTGTCAATAGAGGGCGAATCGGTTGTAGTACGAGCTTCTGCCTTTAAGGGGTGCGGCCTACATTCATAGTGAATCAGTGTGCCAGCCGGCATCATCGAATTAGCATTTGTTTCTTAGTTACGGGCGTTTTGGTAGTGCATTACACCGACCCTCCTGCGATTTCGGAATGGCGTGTGCATCAAATTTTGCCAAAGACTCGCCAAAACGGCTAAGGAAACCTATGAAATGCTAAAGCAAACATTTGGGGAGTCCGCAAACTTTTGTGTGGCATTCACGTTTTAAAAATGGCCGAACCTCTGGCG